GGTATTGTGTATCAAAAAGTTAAATGAAAATAAATAAATAAAAATTAGTAGAATGAAGAAAATATTACATCTATACTAAATTATTTAAATAATTATCATGTGTAGGCTACACCCATGATTGTTTGTTTGTTTATTTATTTACTTATTATTGAACATGCAGGTATTTTCATTCTTAGAGGTGTGTTAGTTAAATGAAAATAAATAAATAAAAATAAATAAATAGAATGAAGAAAATATTACATCTATATAATAAAAAGGTATAGCCAACCTGAAATAAAATTACGAAAAAATTGTAGTCCCATAGTATTCAATGGCTGACTGTAGTAGGTGATTTCATATAATAATGTAAATGTAAACTCATTACTTGTCTGAATTTCAACATTATAATGGAATCATAAGCTACTAGTCATAAAAACAATTAGGGTCCTTGACCAATTAGAATGAAACACAGCCAAACTGGATAAAGGGGCCTCAATATTTTGCCCCTTACTCAACATTATAATGGAATCATAAGCTACTAATTATAAAATGAATTAGGGTACTTGGCCAATTAGAATGAAACACATCCAAACTGGATAAAGGTGCCTCAATATTTTGCCCCTTACATGTCATAAAAGGGAGAAAAAGATAATCTACAGCAATTAATCCCATGCCTTAGCTCTTTATCTTTACATTCTTCCTTTTGTGTGACTGACGGAAGTTTGTAAACTGCTGCTGTCACTTGAAAACTGCACAGTAAAAAAACGCAGTGTCAATTTAACACTTAAAGTGTCTATTTTAACACTACTAAAGATCATATATGGTCCCAATCTCTCTAGTGTTAAAAGTACACCGTTCATAGTGTTGATTTTTTTAGTGTTAATATAGCACCTTACAGTGTAGATCTGGAATATTTAATTCTGAACTGAAAGTTTAAGTCTGAAACCGGTGTTCTGTCGATTTGTGCTACCCTGTCAGATTTTGCTACCTCCCATTAAAACAGTGGGTAGTACAAAATGCTACCTGGTTATTAACATCTACACCTACCCCAACCCTAAACCTATCCTTACAGTAATGCAAATACAGTAATTGTGTTATATTCGCGGTTGTGGCTAGAAGGGATACAGCTACAGGAAACCAACAATAAAAAAAAATTTCTATCTATTAGATCGTGTTTTATTAAAGTCTACACCTACCCCAACCCTAAACCTACACAGTAAAAAATGCAGTGTCAATTTAACACTTAAATTGTCAATTTTAACACTATTAAAGATAATATATGGTCCCAATCTATCTAGTGTTAAAAGTACACCGTTCGTGGTGTTGAATTTTTAGTGTTAATGTAGCACCTTACAGTGTAGAAAAATTACACTCTGAGTGTAAAGTGTTACACTTGCTATTGTTGTTCAAATTTTACACTATGGGGTATTTAACACCCCTGGTGTTGTTTTAATCCTTTAAGTGTTATTAATGAAGTACTCTTTTCAGTGCAAACAAAAAAATGCTTTTGTATGGTGTTAATGTACAAGATTAGACATAAAATCAAGAGTCTTCATACAGATGTATAAATTTCAACGTTTATTTAATAAATGGGCAAAGTGGCAAATTTAAAACATATATCAGATGTGTAGAGGTTCATTAGTCAGTCACATCCATTAAGTTAAGAAACATCAAATAGTTAATAAAAAACAAAATCATCAAATTTACCTAGACATGAACAAATATGACAGGTAGATTTGACAGTTGTGTAGCATCCATGAATGATGTTCCTCGTTGTCCCATCAGCGAAATGTCCAAATGTACCTTTTTGAAGATGTTTTTCAGCTTGATAGGATGACATTTTTCCAGGTCCCTTGCAGCCTTGTGGTGATGGTGGAATCAAATGAAGTAGGAGACCAATTGATGCAATATCGCTGTCCCATTCTAAATAACAGATATGACAACTTTAGCAAAAAAATGCATGAACACAGAATATAGATAAAGCATTAATATAGATAATCTTATTCTGAAATATAGTCTAACCTTAGACATCGGTTTCATCCTCCTTTACAGCTGATTCCGAGGTCAATTGGGTCCTTGAAGGTCTTGGGAGAAGCCAGGAACTTGGCTTCTTGAAAAGAAAAAAAAGAAAAAACAATAAATGACAACAATATCTCTCTCAGGAACCATTCTGCTAAGTTGATTGTGTAGTCACACAGTGGCTCTGTTCACACCTGGCATTAGCACGCATCTTGGGTGACGCATATGGCCACATTCTTTTATTACAGGCTTAGTTCAAAAATGAAAATTTCATCAGTTTACTCAGCCAAGACTTTTGTTATCTTTGAAACACAATTGAAAATATTAGAATATACGATTTCTGTCCCTTGAATGACGGTCCACGCAACTACCACTTTGAAATTTCATAAAGAGATCTAATCCATAAAGAGAACTAATCCATACGTATCGTGGTTTAGTCCAAATTTTCTGTTTATGTTCCCTGATCAATGTTTAAATGTGTAAAAAAAATCTGTTCATTGTAAAGCGATCGAGTGTCTTCAGAAAATTTGGACTAAACCACTCGTCGATGGAAGGAAATTTTCTCATTTCAAATATCTTCATTTCTGTTTTGAAAATGAATGCAAGTCTTGCAGGTTTGGAATGACAGAGAGTAAGAAATAATGAACATTTTTCATTTTTGGGTCAACTAAACATGAATCTTTTTGCAGTTTGATATCTTAAATTAATAATTAGTAAATTCCAGGTGTGAACATAAGCTGATATTGTGTGCCTGCCCAGTTCAACTTTAATTTTTCATATTCATTTGTGCGTTTTAAATTTGTACTGCACATAGAATAACATATACTGTAAATGACACACTCACAATTCTGGCTTCATCTTCAGCATTCTTCTCCTTTCTTGAAGGGCTTCCATCACTCACACTCAGTGTCATCAGACTCCCAGTTTGCAATCTTATGAGAGGAGCTTCCTTCACTTGACACTGCAGAAGTCTGGGCCAATTCTATTGAAAAAGGATAAAAAACAAAAACACTTATTTCAGTAATTTAAATTTACATTAGGACTGTAAATATGGTAAAATAATTGTGATTACCCCTAATTTTGAGTGTGCTGAGAACTGTCTATAATACGGGTGTCAAATCCTAAACTTATTATTATATTTTTACATCACTCTAGGGTCAATTAAATGAAACATTGTGCAATATTCACACGGTGGCCTGAAACAATTTAAGTATTTATTTAATCTTATTTTTAAATACATTTGTATAATTTTAATGAGTAATATGAGTAATAAGGCATCTTAAAATGAACTGTACTACATTAGAATAAACTAACACGTGTTAAGAATTTATTTTACTGTTAATTTATTATTTATAATGTGAAAAGAAAATACAGATAGATTCAGACATATTTCTCCATTAAAACTTAACTTTGTATATCTATAAATATTTAGGACATTATTTAACCCAAAATAGCATGCCATATGAATTGATAAAGACTGGTTTCAAGCTAAAGTACCTGCATGCTCTGCCAGTGGGCACTGAAGGAAATTGAAAGACTGACGGATTTACAGTTTAACGTACCTTTAACTCACTTTCACGATGCTTGCATAAACGTAATTGTCACAAGAAAAACTTGATGGTAAGTTAGCGCGTTTGTGTCTTGACGCAGATATGACCACATGACAGACATGATATTCAGCGCTGAGAACAAGCAACGTAACGCTACAGATTACGCAGTTCACACTAAAGGGGCGGTCACACTAGACTTTGAACGTGCGAAATTTTCAGATTCATTTACCAGGCCACCTGCTTTTCACCATTTAATTGTCAAATATTGAGTACAATTGTATGTAGTATTGTGAAGTTTATGATGAAACATACAAAGTTATGGGATATTAATTTTAAATAACATTAATATTCATAAAATATTCATTAGAATTAATAAAATACTCTTCAATTTCAGGTTTTTGCCAACTGGTGACTCTTACCACACTATATCCAAAAGCTTCAGGGTGGGCAAATCCACTGTAGTTGGAATAGTGCCATCTGTGGCCACGGCCATTTGGGAGAGTTTGGTAGGAGAGTATATGCCAGTGCCTCAGGAATCAGATTGGAGGGTGATTGCTGAGGGGTTCTCCAGTAAATGGGCTTTTCCACACTGCTTGGGTGCCATTGATGGGAAGCACATTACTATCAAAGCTCCTGCTGATTCTGGGTCCCTTTATTATAATTACAAGGGACAGTTCTCTATTGTTCTTCTGGCAGTGGTAGATGCCAACTACCTCTTCAGAGTAGTAGACATCGGTGCCTTTGGCAAGAGTAGTGATGGTGGTACGTTGTCTGCCTCTGCTCTTGGAAGAGCTCTCAGAGACGGAACACTCAATCTCCCAGATGATGAGCCTCTCCCTAATGGTGAACACCTTGGTAAGGTACCATTTGTGTTTGTTGGAGATGAAGCATTTCCCCTCCGAAAACATCTTCTGCGTCCTTACCCAGGAAGAGCAATCCCTGCTGACCAGAGGATCTTCAACTTCCGTCTGTCGCATGCAAGGAGGATTGTAGAGAATGCGTTTGGCATCATGGCAGCTCAGTTTCGTGTGTAACACAGAGTGATGGAGTTGAGCCCATGTAATGCAGAAAAGATTGTGCAAGCAACCACCATTCTCCACAATTTTATTAGATGGGGTCATTAGAATTCTCCTTCCACCACTGGTTCTGCTGACCCAGGTACTGCACTGAATGCAGCTGGAAGGATGGGAAGCAACACTGCGTCGCGGGAGGCCCTAGCTGTGAGGGAGAAGTATAGGGAATACTTCAACTCCCCGTGTGGTGCAGTTCCTTGGCAGTATAACCAGATTTGAGGAAGTCTGGCTCACCATAAAAAGGCTCTTTTCAGAGCCACTTCAATATCACAGAGTCAATTTTTCCATTGTTTGTGTGTGTGTGTGTGTACATTAAGGTTACATCTGCACACACGCAGCATTTTAAATGCCCATATTAAATTTTTGATAGAAAATGTTCAAGTACACTAAGCAACAAGAAAAAGTAATGAATCAGGAAACTGGTTTTATTGTTTTTATCAAATACATCAACTACCAAAAACAAAAATTCCTACGTAACAGCAGGAGGAGAGAGCAACTTATTAGAACCTGTTTTTGAAAACCACATCTTCTTTAAGGAATAATTTTCTTTAGAATTAATTAATTATGACAATGTTCATTTTGGAGTGAACAACTCCTTAATTGCACTTAAAAACAATTTAATGCACTCAAAACTCATGAGAACTTATAAGAAATAAGTAATAGTTCACCCTAAAATGAAAATATACTGAAATTAAACTCGCCCTCAGGCCATCCAAGATGTAGATGAGTTTGTTTCTTCATCTGAACAGATTTGGAGAAATTAAGCATCACATCACTTGCTCAGCAATGGAGAGAATGACAGTCTCCAAATCTGTTCCGATGAAGAAACAAACTCATCTTGGATGACCTGAGGGAGAGATAAATTGCCGTAGATTTTCACTTTTGAGTGAACTATTACTTTAAGGATCATGTTTGTGAACTGACACTGTACTTAGCCTCGTGTGTCAACTGCATTCCCTGGGTAGACGGGAGAGAGCTGGGTGAATGCAGTTGAGGAA